TAAATCATTTTCTTATATATTCTACATGATCAAAAACCTGTTTATCTTTTCCCAGAATACTGGCTTTTACCCAAAGATCCACAGATGAGAATAAACAATAGAGCAAGCTGTACTCTACATACACTGTACTGAGGTTACATTGCAAGCAAGTATATTTAATCATTAACTCCGTGCTTTTTTTCAGACAAACTTTCACATCATAGGTCATCTGGGCAAAATCTTGTGGTTACAATAAGTGGCATAAGAACAATGAGGTACTAAACAAACTGGACTCTTAACTCTCAACTTCTTTTTTTTTCTTTTTTTTTTCTTTTTACACACCACTTTATTATACACATTCTTCTTTTTTTTTCTTTTTAGTTACAATTTGTTAACTCTGTGTCCCAGCTGTATCCCGCTCCCTCATTCCCTCCCCTACCCCCACACTCCCTCCCTGGTCTCCCCCCTGCCCCTTTCCAAGTCCACTGATAGGGGAGGACCTCCTCCCCTTTCATTTGACCCTGTTTTATCAGGTATCTTCAAGGCTGGCTGCAAAGTCCTCCTCTGTGGCCTAACAGGACTGCTCCTCCCCTGGGGGGGGGGGGTCAAAGAGCCTGCCCTTGAGATCCTGTTAGAAATAGTCCTTGTTCCCCTTACTTTGGAAAACTACTTGGTTACTGAGCTACCACGGGCCACATCCGAGCAGAAGTTCTATGTTATATCCATAGATGGTCCTTGGTTGAGTGTCAGTCTCAGAAAAGGCCCTGTGCCCGGATATATTTGGTACTTGTAGAGCTCCTATCCTTTCCATATCATACTAACTCCACTTCTTTCATATGATTCCTTGCACTCTGCCATGGTTTGGTTATGAGTCTTAGTGTCTGCTTTGAAACACTGCTAGGTAGAGTCTTTCAGATGTTTGTAGCCGAGCAAGTTCTTGCTGAGCTCTTCTAAACATCTTTTGTAATAAGAGTGACCTTTCAGAGAGTCTCTAGTCCCTTCCTCATAAACTATACAAAGCTCCTGTAATCTCCCTATCTTATCCCAAGGAGTCATGTCCATGTGACCAAGTCATTCTAGAAAAAGACGTTAGTATGAGTACATTAATTTCTCTAGGGTCTGATTCCTTTCTGACTGCAGCAATCTGGGGGCTGAGTGTGTAAACGCAAACAATTCCTGATATTGTTTGATATCCATGAGCTGACTAAAGTTTTTCAGGGAACAATTCCCACAAGAGGCCTCTATAAAATCAATCGCTTGTTCAGATAATTCAGGGTTCACTGCCTTTACAGCCAGGAGGTTGTTTCTGAGCCGTTTCCTTCTCCCCCAATCCCCCTAGAAATCTTACCAGTTGATTAACTAGGGTTAAATTAGAGAAAAAAAACGGGCAGACATATAGGAAAAAGCAACACCATTTGTGGGGTGGTAATCCAGAGATGTTTTCTCCAGAGCAACAGTGCGCCAGTAGCCAGAATTATGTCAAGCAGCTGCTTCTGTAACCATGTCATAACTGACAATTTGCCATTCTTCTTAGTGTTTCATTTCCATAGCTATAGCCTGCTAGATATCCCTTATCTTGCAAATTTACCAATCTTGCCATTTCTTTCAGTATATAAATTGGGGTTTTTTTTTTCTCTTTAGCAGTTTCTTACAAGACTAAATTTATCATTGCTTTATTATTGCCACATGACTCAGAAATTTCAATCTTGGATTTTCCCAAGGAAAAAAATATTTTTACACATAATCTTGTGAATAAATATTTATCAGTTTAGCATATATAATCAAGAACTTGACATGATTTTTATATCTATTGAACAGCTGAATTGTTAAACACATTATGATACATATATGCCATGTATTGCTACAGAATAAGACGTTTTAAAACTCTTGTCTTAGTCACTGTTCTATTGCTATGAAGAGATACCATGATCAAGGCAACTCTTATAAAAGAAACATTTAATTGTGGGTTTGCTTATGGTTCTAGAGACTTACTCTATTATTATTATGGCAGAGAGCAGGAAGATACACAGACAGACAGGGTGCTGGAGTAATAACTGAAATTTCTATACGCTGATCTCCCTGAAGGCAACAGGCAAAGAGACTGAATTTGCATTGGGTTTTGAAACCCCAGTGACACACTTCCTTCAATAAGATCACACCTCCTAATCCTTGTAATCCTATCAGAGTTCCACTGCCTGGTGACTAAGTATTCAAATACATGAGTTTATGAGGACCATTCTTATTCAAACCACCACATCCTCTTTTAGGATATACAATCTTAACAAAACTGTCATAGGATTATGGCCATATCTTGGTTTTGATTTATGTTATAATATTACAAAGTATTACTACTGAGAAAAAGTGAGGAAACTGTTTGTGGTATCTCTCTGTATTCTTTTTTATATTTACACACAAACTTAGATAAGTAAAAATTCCAATACATAATCCCTGGGTGTGATGGTTAGTGTTAGTTATCAACTTGACAAAGTCTAGAACCATCTGGGAGTTGGGCCCCTTGGTATGCCAGTGGAAGAGTGCTCTTCTAGGCTTGCTTCTGGACTCAGGGTATAGCTTGGGTGGGTTATGAGGATCTCAATTCCGTGGTGAGTTGGAGGAGGGAAAGAGAAAGCATTTGCCAAGACGGTTTTCAGTGAGACAGTTCTTTATTGGCGGGGGGGGGGGGGGGGGGGGGGGGAATAAGGAATATGTAAACCTTGGAAAAGTGAGTAGAGGATTTCTGGCTGAGTGTATATCATTGGCTGGGGCTGCAGTGCTGAGAATGTTTTATTGCAAGAAGAGGAATTCCAGGTGCTAGCTGGGCATATCCTTAGAAGAAAATAGGAAGTTTAACCTGAAAAGTGGCCACTAAGTCTACATGACTACCTCAAGGGTGGCAGACATGAGGTTCATGAGACTAAGTGCACCAGGCCTAGAACAAGAAGGGAGGAGTCACCACTGTTGTCGGTCTCAAGATGAGATTTTCGGGGTTTGAACACATCTTGACCTTACTCTTGCTCCAAGCTGGCACTCCTGCCCCCACAGGAGAGCATTTGGATTGTGTTAATTGTTGTGGGAAGAGCCATCTAAATTGTGGGTGAGACAATTCCCTGGCAAAGAATTTTGGACTGCATATAATGGAGAAAATGAGCTGAGCACTAGTATGCATTTTTTTTCTGATGGTGGATGTGATATGACCAGTTCCTTCAAGCTCCTGCACTGTGGGCTAGAATAAACTCTTCTCCCTTAAAGTTATTCTTGTCATAATGTTTTATCAAATCAACAACAACAACAAAAAACTAAGATGATTTAACCAGAATTCTTGATTCTTGAAAAAATAAGTTTTGTGTTCACACAAACACTGTGCACTAATGCCCATAGAAAACACTTGCAAGAATAAAAACCAGAAATAATCCAGATAGCCTTCAACATGTGAATAAATAGAGAAACACTGATACATCCATACTTTCTAATATAACACAGTGATTTAAAATAATTATGGGTACATACTGATATAAGCATTCATTTAGATCAATACTCAAGAAGTTATGCTGAATTAAAAAGCCATTTACAAAATATCATATGCAATATTATTCCAATCATAACATTGTCAAAAAGATCAAATTTTTGTGATGGAGAATATATTAGTGCATATTAAAGATTAGTGACAAGAATCTTGTTAGAAGGCAGTAGATGTGACTATAAAATGGTAACATGAGGCATCTTTATGGTAATAGCATTATTATATCTCATGATTATGAAGAAGTATACATAAATCTATATGCACTGAAAATTTCAAAGCAAACATATGTACAAATGAGTACAAATAAAACATGAAAATTATAAATGAAATTGATTAGTTAATATTCTGATGTTAATATTAATATTAATGTTAATGTTAATATTCTGATTATGATATTGACCTATATATAGTTTTTCAAAATTTTTACAATTTAGAAAAATGTAGCACAGGTAACTTCTTTGTATGTTTTTTTTAAATTCTGTGACTCTTCAGTTATCTTGAAATAATCTTTCAACACATAAGCCTTCAAAACTTCAAATTGATCCACATGTAAAAAGACCAGTCCTCTTAAAAATTAAAAAAAAAAATCCAGCACAAAACAAGATCCAATTAACAAGAAAGATATTTGCTTTTAAAATTGTTTTTATTTTAATTTTTTGAAAAAGGATAAGTGCTTACATAATTTTCCATTAAGACAAATGACATTTCATATGAGATAAAATAAGTTGTACAAAGGGACTAATGGTAATTTGTCTCAAGAAACATGTGAGCTCAATACAGACAAGAATTCTTACTATGACTACTTTACATTAGTGATACTTTAGGCTAAGACTGATCCGGGTGTCCATTGCTCTCAGATTCAGCTTGCAGTGTTAGGGTGCAATTTCATCTGTAGGCTTAAATAAAGGCTGGCCTTGTGGTGGCGCTGTACTGTACCGATTTTGGTATGAATGGTTTTTAACCTCAAGATTATTAAATAAAGGTGCATAGGTGACAAATGTAGGAGTTGAGGGCATACCTATGTTGATCGTTGGTAGAATCTGGAATCTATCAATTCCAGGGTGATTCTGAGCTACTACTGAATCTGGTTGATCTTGAGAACTTACAGCATTATAATCAAAGGAAGAAGTCCAGGGCTCAGTTGTACCACTTTGTTTCAGAAGCATTCTATTTTTTAAAGGATACATATCCAAAGAGTCATTTGTTAAAAGAGACTCCATAGACAGACCTGTTTTGTTAGTAACTCCGCCTGAAGTAAGGAGTTCCCCAGGTCCCTCTTTTTCAGATAAAGGGGAATTTGGTGCTAAGTTGGCCTTACTTGCATGTTGATTCTTAGATCTATTTGACAAGGCCCTCAAAATAGTATTGTATTCGTATATATCAGAATCATCAGTTGTACCTAACTCTTTGGATTTCAAGGGCTTCTCTTTTTCATCTACAGGTGGAGTCCATTGTTTAATTATAGTTGCCATAATCTTATCAAAAGAGTCACCAGAATTATTCACTCCAGAATCCAAGGATTTAGTTCTATCAGATTTAGGAGAAGTATATGACATAGCTATGTCAAAAATAAGCTGAGATAATGATTTACTTGAATTGCCTATATTAGGTGGAGAGGTATTCTGATGATTCTGAATTAAATTCTTTCCAGAATTTTCTGGAACTACAGTAACAGGCGATGACTTTTTTTGTTCAGCTAAAAATCTGGCAGCTAGGGTGGTGTGGGTTTTATCAAGGAACAATGTATGAGTATCAGGAAAAGAATTCATATCACTAAAATTAAAGATTGTTGGAAAATGTTTGATACGTTTGGTTTGTCGAGAAGTGCCTGTGCTTCGTTGAGAAGACCTGGGGGAAGAATTACGGGAGGACGTGGTTGGGGTATAATTCTGGCGGTTTTTGATTTGGGGGACAAGTTCATCTTCATGCATTATCTTACAGTGTAAGGGGGAAGCAGGATTCAGTGGTTTCTTAGATGCCTTGATTAATCGTTTCATCCAGGAATGGTAGGGAGCTGTTTTAATGACGAGTGTGGGATTCTGACATATCCTTGAAGTTTTTTGTATGAGGCCCACCAGTTCCCAGCGGTTCTTTAGGAGACATAGGACAGGGCTGGCTCTCTGTATCTGAATAAGGAAACCAAGAAATATGTGTCACTTACTCAAGTCTACTATGCATACAATTCTTACACTATGTGAGGAAGAGAAAAAAATCAATTAATATTTATTATCAAGCAGCTCCCAAAAATTACCAGTGTAAGACATGGGCACATGCAGTTGAAATATATGATAAGAGAATGAATATAGAAAGCGTTTGTAGTAATTGTAAAATTTCAAATTCTTACAATCAATAATTTTATCAGCACTGATCATGGATTTCTAAGAGTTATATCAAACTTCATGTGAAAACCAAAAAGAACCAATGACTTTCTTCACGCAAAATCTTCCTTTGTTTTGTTTCCCTAGTAACGGTCACAACACTCTTTCAAAAGTCCGTTTAAAAATTAAAAAAAAAAAAAAAACTCAAAATCATCCTCATTGCCACTCCTTCCTCCACACTATGTTACCAGCCCATCAATAAATAATGATTCTATTACTTTAATTTCCAAAGAGTTATGTTAATATTTAAATTAAATAATTCTCACATAGGTGGGTACCTATTTTTGTTAAAAAAAAATATAGTGTCTTTACAAAAAGGCATAGTTCTTGTCCTTCTCACATTTGATCTGAACACAGCATCCAAACTTATCCACTTAAAATCTAAGGAAGACCACTACATCTTTCTGTGTAAAAACTCTCCAATAAGTGCTTTTAAGTCTTCACAATGTTAACAGTGGTTGTTTTAATAGCTTAGAAGGCCTTTGCAATGCTTCTTGCCACCTTTATGCCACCTACTGTTGTTGGCTTGACCAGGATGCTATAGCCACCTGACTTCTCTTTTCTGTTATTTAAATATTCCAGACGTATTTACATAGCAAAATCTTTGCATTGGCTCTTCCTGTACACCATACTTGTAACACTGCTCTGATATCCAAATGACTTGCTTCATCACATCTTCCTTAAGTCTGTTCAAACACTGTTATTGTTTTTTTAAACAAGTCCCTTTTCTGATTACCTAATTGTATTAAATGGGATTATATAGACAAAATCTCTTCTATCTTATGTTGCAAGTATTTTAGACTAATACTGTCTTGGAGTCCAGTTCTTTCAGGTAGCACACAGAATTCAAAGTTATAATAAGCCCTGCTCTATGTTTATTATATTTTAATTATTTTACTCAAAATATTTAATATCATTTGTGTTACTATTTACTTGTTCTTGATTACCTCTCAAAAATATATAAACTCATGAGACCATGAGCTTCCCTATCCTCACCGCCATTACCTTAGTTCAGATAAAGTTACTCTGTAAGAATGAAGAGTATATAAATATTCTATCTTGAAAACTGTTATTTCAAATTTCTCCAATTGTTATTTCATGTTTCTTCTCTTTTATGGCATCTTCACACCAACTACGAGTAAACTTCACAATATAAACTTTGTCACATTTCTGTTGTCAAAATCTTTGCATGTCTCCCCATTCCCTAAATAATACAGTTTATGTTATAAAGTAACAACACATTCGTAATCTTCCCTGTGAGTACTTGTCTCTCACTTCTCTCCTAACTCATACTCTGGATAACACATTTTCCCCTAAATCCAAGGTATTCTACATTTTTCACACTTGTCTGCTTCTGCTTCATTTGGCATGAATACCATCACTTCATTTTATACTTCTTATCCGATTTGGTAAATTGTTACTTGTCTTTAAATAGTAGTTGAAACATTGACTTCAACACATTTTAAAGTAACCTTCCTTTTACTCTCAGTGTTAATTTCATACTGTGGAGATATCTAGCGTACTTATTTGTCCTACGGGGATATTATTCTCTGCCTTCTGTACAAGAAGGTGAGCTCTGGGTGCTGGGACCATTGATGATTTTTCTACCACCTCTATACTACTGTAAGCTCTCTGAGGTTTGTGACCACTCTGGCTCCGTTATCTCCACTATCAGCCTGTCATTCTAAGGACTGCTCTCATCTGTTTCTTTTCTATCTAAGTAAACAATAGCCTCTCAGTGCTTGCTTGAAATTTCTTGCAACAGTGTGTTTCTAGAAACTAACTCAAGACCCGATATTCAATATATGGTTCCTGGAATAGTACTGGTATTCATCTCATCCCCTGCAATTATCTTCCACTAGCTACTAACTCTACAATTTCTCATGTGTTATTTCTTCATCTCAGTTTGAAAGAAGGTTTTGAACAATTTTCCGTGCATTTTTGCTTAACTAAGTACTTCTCATCTCTCAAGACTTAGCACTCAAGACTGGTCATCTCACTCAGTAATTCAGCCCAGGATCTCCACAGTTCAAGTTAATGCTTCCTTTGAAGTCTTTCAATATTATTTGCCTGTGAGATTTCAAATTGTCCAAGATATGTTAATATCTAAAATTTTTCTTGCATAGGGAATTATTTTCTATAGCTTTCCTACATGAAAGCTGAGTTACATCTGTGCCTTTTAAACATCCCCACAGCAAAGTTTGAGCTGTACTGTGCTCATTATAGTACCTACAGAGAGGCAATAATAAAATTAGAAACAGAAAGGCAAAATGTATTTGTGTGCCCATTGATTCTTTTTTTATTGTATTTCTCATTTGTTTTTAAAGCCTTCCTTGTGTAAACTCTATGCCTCTCAAATGTCTAAAGAAACTTCCCAAATTTGCGTATTTGCCTGGCACCAACTTCCTTATGTCCTGTTAGTATTTACTTGCATATTTAAAGACTTCTACATTTTTATGTTTCCTTCCTGTTCTTAATATTTCTCTGGTGTATGCTTACCCAGCAGTCTTCCTGTAGTTGACTCTGAATACACAAGCCCTCTCTTTTCTCCAGAGAGGAACGCTGATGGTGGCATTTTGCGTACTCTAACAGCTGCACTTCTATCTTCTTTACTCTAGTGGTTCCAAGCTTCTTGCTACCTAAAGGCATACACAAGGAATGATGCTGAGACCCAAAGCAGCCAGTCTCTGGTTTGTCACCACTCTCAATTCAATTGCATCATCTTCCCAGACATTCTTCTTTCCCTTCCTTTCCTTTTTTCTTTTTCCTTTCCTTTTTCCTTTCCTTTTTTCTTTCCTTTCCTTTTTCCTTTCCTTTTTCCTTCCTTTCCTTTTTTCTTTTTCCTTTCCTTTCCTTTCCTTTGCTTTTTCCTTTCCTTTCCTTTTTCCTTTTTCCTTTTTCCTTTCCTTTACTTTCCTTTTCTTTTCTTTCCTTTCCTTTCCTTTCCTTTCCTTTGCTTTGCTTTTTCCTTTCCTTTCCTTTTTCCTTTTTCCTTTCCTTTACTTTCCTTTTCTTTCCTTTCCTTTCCTTTCCTTTCCTTTGCTTTTTCCTTTCCTTTCCTTTGTCCTTTCCTTTCCCCTTTCCTTTTTTTTTCTTTCCTTTCCCCTTTCCTTTCTCTTCTCTCTTTAGCCATTTCCTTACCTTGTATTTTCTGAACCATTCACACCTTCCTCAACCTGTTGTGATGGTTTGTCTTTTCTTTTCTGTTTTTCAAGACAGAGTTTCTCTCTGTGTCGCCCTGGCTGTTCTTGAACTTGTTATGTAGACCAGGCTGGCCTTAAACTCACAGAGATCCACCTGCCTCTGTTTCCCAACAGCTGGGACTAAAGGAGTGTACCACCACTGCCTGGCTTGATGGTTACTCTCGATTATCAATTTGACTGGACTTAGAAACACCTTGGAGTACTAAGTAAAGCCCACCTCTGGGTATGTTTTATAGCCTTTCCAAACATCTAGCTCATGACTACTCTGAACAAAACAATGAATTAATCACTTATGGATATAATATGATAACAGTACTGAGATATAGTTAAAGGTTTAAAGTGTACCCTATTTGGAGAAGTAGCTAACTGTGGACATGCTCTTGGGCAAATGTCTTCCTTCTGCCCCTTCCTATACTCTTCCCTTCTCTCTATCTCCTGATCACCAAGAAGTGAAGAGCAGCCCCTACCACATGTTCCAATTGCTGTAGCGTTCTGCCCAGTACACAAGGACAAGCAGCCACATATGGAACCTTCTGAAAGCATAAGTCAAAATAAATCTCTTCTGGGCTGGAGAGATGCCGCAGAGGTTAAGAGCACCGGCTGCTCTTCCAGAGGTACTGAGTTCAATTCCCAGCAACCACATGGTAGCTCACAGCCTCCTATAATGAGTTCTGGTGTCCTCTTCTGGCGAGCAGGTGTACATGCAGACAGAACATTGAGTGCATAATAAAAAAATAAATCTTTTTAAAAAATAAAAAAAAAAATCTATCCTATCTCAAATCAACTGTTAGGTCTTTCATCACAGCAACAAGAAAGAGTGAAAATATCTGGGTATAGAAAGTTCTGTAACAAAAATAAAGACTTAAATCCAGGCATATCCCATTCCTTATGCTTTGGGTAGTCTTTCAGCTGATATGAACTAAAAGACCTCCACTATTTCTTTGAGATTATTTTTCCTACTTTAGAGACATAATTTCTTTAGAAAATGAGTCATATTACTGTAACCAAAATCATAAAACAATTTCACCTGACTCCTTTTACTTACTCTGATATTCATACACATCACAGCGTCTGAATTGACACCTGGAGCAGCTCTTCAAGGTTATATTAGAGGCCTGAGACAATGGTATCTTATCCCCAGTGATAGGCTGTTCAAGAATAATTACGCCAATATCTGCTTTTACCGGATCATTTTCATTTAGGGGATTAAACTTGGGATGGAGGCAGAGTCTTTGTCCATATGGAATACTTTCTGGGTCCTTAACTCCTGAAATGTCCAGGTGTGACAGTTTTCTAGGGTAAGATAAGGATATGCAACAATGTAATTAATAATAATAAATAATTACACATATATTATCTTATGAAAGGCATTGTTTGGCAGCAAAGGTCAAATTCACAGTTACAAAATAGACCAACTTTTCATTTATTTGACATCACAACCTTATCTTAATTCCAGGCCACATAGTGCCTGTTATAAGGCTTTTTATTGGCCTTTGGTTCCCTTACATTTCTACTGCTCCACTATCAACTATTTGATTCTCAAAAAGTTTCTTTGTATACTGGATCTTAATGAGTTCCAGAAATTGAGAAAAGAGGGACTGCATATTCAAAGTCTGCTTCAAATTTAACATTCTCCAAGTTGAAAATAAACCCAGACTTTCTACCTCAAACCCCCAGTGTCCACAATAGTCTCAGACTCAGGTAGGCAATTTCTGTTTTCCCTTCTGTCCTCCACTACAATCTCTCCAGTCTCATCCCCAATCTTGTAACAGACTGCTTGCATGTGCCTCTCCTCCTACCCTACCTTCCATCCTTGGGGACTCCACCAAACTTGCTTTGATCTAGCCTTCTATTAGCCAGTGATACCTAGAAAACCTTTTTATGTGGAGCCCCCTGTGAGCACACTGGTCTGGGATTCGGGTAGGTGATTTTTACTCTCTTTCCTGTCCTCCATTAAAATCTCTCCAGTCTCATCCCCAGCTCTGTAGTTGCATACTTGCAGGACCCTGTCCTCCTACTCTGCCTCCATTCCCTGGGGACTCTACCAAACCTTGGTGTGAACACAGATTTCTTCCTTCCTGTGAGCTCTCTCTCGCTCTCTCTCTCTCTGACTGCCTTGTATCCCATCTTCATCCTTTTCTGCTAACCCCTGATACTTCAAAACATGTTCTAGCCAGGGCCCCATTGGCCAAACCTGGTAGGAACTCAGGTATGTTATTACTCTAACCTTACTGTCCTCCTTGATAATATCTCTATTCTCACCCTAAGCCTGGTAACTACTTCCTTACAAGTGTCCCTTCTCCCACCTCAACTCTATTCACCAGACACTACAATACCTGGTTCAGACCCAAAGTTCCCCTAGTCCATTCATCCCTGTCTCTCCAGATTATTCTTTGTCCTCCTGCAACTTTCAAAATCTCCTCTTTCCACCCTACCTGTAATTCTCAGAAAGCCTGCCTCTCAGTGTAGACAGGATCTTCTTAGCTCTTTCCTGAAACCCCTTTAAGCCTTTCCTCTTAGTCACCTCTACTGCTTTCTGTCATCAACTGACATGAAGAAGCACTCTCTACCATGAAACCCACAACCACCACACATTTCCTAAGACCAAGAGAGGGAAACAGAAACCAAGGAATAGAACACCCACCCAACAAAGACAAGGCCAACACCTAGAATCACCTCAGTGATCCCAACTCCAGATACCTAGAGGTGAGCAGAAAAACACAAACATTAACAACCAAGGCAATATACCTCCATCAGACCACAGCAACAATCCTACTATAATAGGCCCTGAGAAATGCAATATAGCTGAAGCACAAGACAGTGATTTCAAAATAGCCTCTATGAATATGTGCAAGGACCTTAAAGAGGTTATGAATAAATACCTTAATGAAATATGTGAAAACACCAACAGTAGAATGAAATAATGAAAATGGTTCAAGACATGAAATTAGTAACAGAATCACTAAAGAAAACTTGAACTGAGATAAAACTGGAGATGAAAAATTTAAGAAGTCAAGAACATGAAAGGTAAACCTCATCAACAGAGTATGAAACATCGAAGAGAGGATCTTGGGCATTGAAGATAAGGTAGAAGAAATGGACAACTCAGTCAAAGAAAATGTTAAATCTAAAAATTCCATACACAAAACATCCAGGAAATCTGGAACACTAAGAAAAGACCATATCTACAAATAATATGTCAGAAACCACAGTCAAGGGCAGAAGAAATATTTTCAACAAAATCATAGAAGAAAATTTCCCCAAGATAAATAAGGGGATGCCTTATATCAAGGTATAAGAAGGACACAGGATAGCAGAAAAAAAGAGAGACTATGTCTACAGTCAGTGTTCTGATCTGTGAACATTTGAATGATTAGTAGCCTAACATTTCCTGAAAAAAAGTGAGCTTGAGATGATCACCAGTCTGGTGCCATGCAGGCCTGGATGAGCTCCCAGGAGCGGGGACAGTGGGTTAAAAGAACCCCACCTGGGACTACAGGCCCCAGGCAGGATGGAGACTGAGACACACAACACTCACATGAGACCACTTGGGCAGGCCTGGGAGAGGAGCAAGATCAAAACAACCACCAGATTGGCACCATGGGTTCCAGACAGGAAACTAGCCTGAGATTACTACCAATTTAGTGCTGGGCAGGCCTCAGGGTCAGACCATGCCAGAGATAACCTCTGCCCAGTTGTCGTCATGCATGACCAAGGCGTAACATTCCAGAAACAACTCCTGAGATGACCCAAATCAGATGACTCAAGATGCTCAGAGACCACAGGCACCACTGAGAATAACTAGTGGAGAAATGAAAGAGAAACAGAAGGATGTGAGCACAATGAAGAGAGACAGAACTGAGACTGGAGGATAGTGAGAGACAGCCAGATGTGAGTACCCAATGGTCCCACTTGGGACCATGATGGGGTCCTGGCCTGTGCTGTCACTAGCACATGTCACCAGGGCCATGTCTCTGGGTCCATGATCCTACAGTACCAGGCGTCTGTTACTACCAAAGGCCAGGCAGATATCCCTGGTTTGGGCTACTGCGTAAGGACATGTTGATGTCTGAGGGTTGTGCAGAACTGGCCCCACCCCTCACCTGGGCATTGTGGGAGAGCTGGCCCTGAGACCATAAAAGCAGCAGGAGATCTGCCTCTGCCTCTAGACAGCTGCAGTACTCAGGAGAGTGGGCCTTGCACATTACAGGAGTTGTGGGTCAGAGAGCCCCAAGAATATGAGCATGGGAAAGCTGGACCTACCACTCATCTTCCACGTGATAGCATGGATGATAGAGAGAAACCGTCCTTTCCCCTCACCTCTCACCATTTGCAACAGGTGGGAGACCTAGCCCTGGGATCATGGAAACAGGAGATCTGTCTCTGCCCCTCAGCAGCTGCAGTACTATGGAAGAACAGGCCCTGCACCTCACCTGGGCAGCACAGTAGAGCTGACCCCAGTGGTAGGGATGCAGGCAAGCTAACCTTGAGGGCATGAGGATGAGAGAGCTGACCCCACCACTTGTCTGCTGTGCAGTGACATGGGCAAGAGAGAATTGCCCCCTCTTATTCTTTGCCACCTATATCAGGGAGGAGACCTGGACCCAAGGTTATCCGAGTGGGAGAGCTTTCCCTCAACTACTGCAGCACTTGGGAGAGCAGGCCCTCTACCTCATCTGGGCAACACAGTAGGCCCATCCCTGAATGTGGGGGTTGCAGGTGAACCAGCCCCTGAGAGCATGAAAATAGAAGAGCTGGGGAGCTGACCAGCTCAGATATCTCTCAGATACCTCTCACACCCAGATCCAGGGCTTTGAATTGGCCACCCCAACATCTACACCATTGATGAACCACTGTAGTATATGAAGGGGCTGGTCCTACAGATCCAAAACTACAGAATCTCCACACACATGGTAACAACAGTAGTCCCAGTGAAATTACAGTATTGATGGAGTAGCAAAAGCAATGGAACATTTGCAAGCAAAAAAGTGTGGATAAAAGGGTATACTATGGGACATACTGTGATCTACTACAGCTTCCACAGTAAGATTTTTTTTTTCTGTGTTTAGGGGAGGGAGGTTGCAGTGGTGAAGAATGGGTATGAGAGGAAGGGTAGATGAGTAGGATTGTGGTGCATGATGTGAAATTCACAAAGAGCCAATAAAAACATTTCCTAAGTATACAGAACACCAGACAGACAGGATGAGAAATGAAATTCCCCATGATACATAATAGTCAAAACACTAAAGGTACAGAAAAAAAATAAAAAAATATTAAAAGCTGCAGGGGGAAAAAGACCAAGTAACTTAGGTAGGCCCATTAGAATAACACCCAACTTCTTAGAGGAGAATCTAAAAGCCAATAGGGCCTGAAATAATGTTCTACACATTTAAGGGATCTCAGATTTTCACACTAGATTACTGTACCCAGCAAAGCTATCAATCATAATAGATGGAGAAAGAAAAATATTCTATAATAAAACCAAATTTAAGCAGTATCTGTCTACACCTCCAGCCCTACAGAATGTGCTAGAAGGAGACCTTTAGTGTGAAGAGGTTAACCACACCAAGAAAACAGAAGGAATAAATAATCCCAGAACAGTAAATCAAAACTGGGGACTCACACCATAATAACAAAATAACAGGAATCAATAAGCATCAATACGCTCAAGTCCCCAATAGAAAGGCACAGACTAACAGACTGGATTAGAAAGTAGGATCCATCCTTCAGTTGCATCAATGCAACACACCTGAACATTTAGGATAGACACCACCTCAGGATAAAAAGATGGAAAAAGATATTCCGAGCAAATGGACCCAAGAAGTAAGCAGGTGTAGTTATTTTAATATCTGACAAAATAAACTTCAAACCAAAACTAACTAATCTGAAGAGATGGAGGACACTACATGCTCATGAGGGTGAAACTCCACCAAGAGAATATTGCGTTCTAATCATTTAGGCACCAAATAAAAGGGTTACCAAGCTTATAAAAGAAAACACTGCTTGAGATAAAATCACATATTGGCCCTCACACAGGAATAACGGGTAACTTCAGTACTCAGCTTTCACCAATAGACAGTTATCTATCCAGACAAAAACTAAACAGAGAACTGCTGGAGCTAACTGACAGCATAAATCAAATGGACCTAACATATGTACAGAACATTTTACCCAAACACAAAATAAAATACCTTCTTCTCAGCACCACATAGAACCTTCTCCAAAATGGACCACTCAGTTGGACACAAAGCAAATCTCAACAGGTTTAAGAAAACTGAAAAAAGGGACTGACT